CAGGATATGGCAAGCTCAGGCTGCAGGAACCCATGTCCCAGAAGCTACACACAGTAGCCATGGCCAAGGACAAGGTACCTCTATCACTTTGCAGATGGCTTTGTCGCTGCTGGCATCACAATGGACAAGGAGGACCGTTAAAAAACAAACCAATATAAACCCAGGTATCCCACTTACCGAACATGACGACGTGATGGATATGTGACTCCACTATGACATGGACCCTGAACAAGGAAGCCCACCCTGCGTGCCGCAGAAGCAATTCGCATAGCAGGAAGAGATCCGAGGCCATGCAACCTCATCACACTATAGTGTATCCCGCCAGTCTGGCTCTTTGCAACGCTCAACCCCGTCGTCGGCGAACAAATCTCAAACCATTCCTTCCCAATCCCAAGCCAATATACCGAATCATTATTCCCAACAAGATCCAGCCCCCACGTTGCATCTCTCACGCCTCGGCACGCATAAGATCGGCGGGTGGAAAATTATCTCCACTCCCTTTTCTCCTGCCCCCAATCCATCGGACGATCATGCCCTACACTGCAGTACTCTGATCCTTTGCATGTTATAAACGGTCTAAACGCCCGTCTCCGCGTCCACCCATCCCATTCCCATCGCAGCAAGATCGAACCATTATGCATGTGCTCGCAGGGATCGCGCAACGCGCGTTGCCCCATACGCGACTAGCCTGGTATAACTTGTGTGTGTGACGTTGATTACTCATACAAGTACAGTTTTGCTTTTTCGGGGAGATGGGAGAAGCGAGGCAGAGAGAGTCTCTAGAAAGTTCAATGGAGGGGGAGTGAGTGAAGCTAACAAAAGGTGCAGAGAAGAGTCATGTTTACGATCTCGGAAGCGAGTGGCGGGGGTTCAATGCAAGATACGCGGTTCGCTGGATGAAGCGAGTAGGTGAGGCAGGGGTTTTTGTAATATTGAACTCGTTCTATTGTCTATGTGTGTGCGTGTGTGGTGTACAGCATTTAACAGTACAGGGGCAGCGAGCATATGGGAAGCACATAGCGCTATTCGTTCACCGTCTTTTCTGTACGCCTTTTCCCCACCACCGGGGAAGAAAGTGTGTGTGTGTGTTCGTTGAAACAAACAGGATTGCGTTGGCGGCATCTTGGAACGGCTGTTCGCAGGATCGGTGGGAGGGTGGGTAGTAGTTCGATAGTCGGCTGGTTTGGCCCTTGCGAGTCAGGTGTGCAGCAGGAACCACGCTCCACACTATAGCGGGACGGCTGGTATAGGGCCCGCGCGAGGTCACACATTATGCGAGTATACTCACACCGCTCGAGACATGCCTTGACTCTTGCTCTGTTTCGTCGACGGAGAAAAGTGAAGCTTGCGGCTCACGCACAGCGAAAGGCGAGGTTTTGCAATTGCCGGCCGGATGATGAGGTCGTGTCTCACGGCAGCCAACTACATTGCCTCCACCTTTCATCCAAAGGCTGCTCATTAACAGAGAGAGGTCCGTGGAATGAAGCATGAACCTGCGGCGTAAGCCGAACAGTAGCACAGCAGGACGGGTTGAAGAGCTGCGTGATCGAAAACCGGCCGCAGCCTCTGAACTTGGCTTTTCGTCCCGCGGTGCAGCTGACGTTGATCCAAGCGTGACATTGAAGACACGGCGTCGTGCTTGCGCAGTACAATCATGTTCGTCAATAGTAGCACAATTGCGAAGAGGAAACCTGCACGGGCTACCCCGCTCCGTGTGATGACGGCTTGAAGAGGGCTTGGCTAGGTGTTCAAGAACTTTGACCTGGGCGTGTTTGTGGTTTTCGCGATACAGTAGCAAGTCCGTGGATACGAATATTCGTCTTGGTGGTCTGAGATGAGCAGTCTCGGAGTTCACCGGCTGGGAAACGTAGGCGAAGGATATCAATGCCGCGGTTTTCCGATGTGGTGTTTCGGACTCTTGCCATGTCGTGATGTACCTGCTAGGCGATGAAGACACTAGACGCGTAAACGTACTACATATCGAAGTCTAGTGCTGCGCTTGTACCAAGACTGCGGGCGCAAGCATGTGCAGCATCTATTCCATTCTATGCCGCAGGAGCCGCCTTATCGCGAGGGACCTTTGTCGGTATCGTGGCCTTGTACGCAGTCCCGCTATCGTCGGTGCTCAGGACTCGTCAGCTGCATCGGTATCATCCGATTCAGACCCGGAAGTGGCGTCTGTGCCGTCGTTCATCTCCACATCCCCGTTGGTCTGCTTGCGAGTTGCGCCGTTAGCACCCATTCTCCTCTTCGCTTGTGCTTTGGTGCGTTCGGCCCTCTTCTTTTCTTGGCCCTTGAAGTAGTCGTTCTCCTCGCGCAGTTCTGAAAGTTGCGAGAATGTAACTTTTTGGATGCGTTGCAGACTTGCAAGCTGCTTCTTCAACTCCTTTACCTCGGCTTGCTGAGCGTTGCCTGAGGGATCAGAAGCAGTGACACTACCTTCGTCCAGCGCCATGAAGTCGGCTGTCGAGGCTGAAGCGCCCTTGGGCTGAGCAGCCCACGAGTCCAGCTCTGCTAAGCTCTCCTCCAACATACTGGCGGGGAAACTGGAGTGCGTAAGAGCTTCCTCGAAGGCGCTTCTTCCCGCAGATCTCTTCTCAGTGGCAGAAACGTGGGTGCTGCGCAGCCGACCCGTCAGCTGCAGGTTCAAGGTATAGTTTGGCGGAATCAGGCCATTTGTGCTGCTCGTCAGCCCTGCATCTTGTTTCGGCTTGACAATAGCCTGGATCTTAAAAGTCGGTTCCGGTGCGTTGGGAAAGCCAGTCGGCGGGAGGAATCGAAGGTTTGAGACAGGACCAGGAAGATTGGCAGGGGTAGAAAGATAGTTGGACTTTGCAGTATCCCAGAGCGCTATCTTGCCGCTGGCATGGCCCGAGATGATTGTTGTGCCGTCCCAGCTAAGGCTCAGACAGAGGGCCCCGCCGAGCTTCTGCGACTCTGCATTGAACCGGCTCTTCGGCGGCGGCTGAATTGGCCGGTGAGACGAGGCACTATCTCGAAGGACGTCTGTTGAAGTAGTCTTCTGGACGTCATCGTAGAAGTCGATGGTTTGTAAGCTGCCGTCAGCGTACGCCACATAGAATGCCCGGTCCGCAGGATCAAGAGTGACTGCAGTCGGTATCTCAGGCAGCAGATATGTCCGCAGAGCTTGCCCATTGTGGTAGTCCCATACTATAGCAGACTTGTCTTCTGATATTGACACGGCGATGTTGGCAGTGCTCGAGCTGTGCCCGCAAGCGATAGACGATATGGGACCGCGGTGGGTGGAGAGGGTTTGGAACGGCGAACGCGAGGCGTCGGGAGAGAATGATAGTATCGTGGGGAGCGCCCACACGTGAATCATGGCATCCGAGGAGCCTGAGAGGAAGAAGTTGGAAGACGGGTCGACAACAATACTCGTGATTGGCTGGAGATGGGACGTGGACGTGGAGACAAGACGGCCTGAGCAGACCTGAGATATGTATTAGAGAAGTTGCACACTACACCTAGCATTCCAAACTCATGACTGACCTCCCAAGCTAATATGCGCCCGCTCTCAGTCCCCAGCAAGAGCACGCTGTCCTGCGCCGCGAGCGCGATGCTGTGTATCCTCTCTGGGAAGGGCACGAGGGCCTCCTGATTGCCCTTTTCTCTGCTGTAGACATGGACGATCGCCTTCTCCGACTGCGCAGCGAAGATATGTGAGGCGCTCACAGCTATGCCATTTGGCGCAGACGCGCTCTTCTTGAGAGCCTGTCTTTGGGCAACGAGTGGCTGGAACTCGTGGACGAAAATACCCGCATCTTTGGTGACGCCCGTGTTCGGCTTAGTCGATGCCGATATGGCGGCGACGAATTGTTCGGTAAGCATGGCCGGACGTAGTTGCGGAAGATCGTTGTCGCAAGTCGAAAGTTGCAGCTCTAGAAACTTTTTGGTGGAGCATCCGAAGACTGAGGGTCTGTGCACCTAGCCGCGGCATCGTCCCAATCGGGCAACTTGTCGAAAGCCGTCGATTGCGTGTGTCTAGATAATTACCACGGCTGTCTGAACCTACTCGTCACATCGGTAGTAGCTCTGAACACCACACCCGTGCAAGAGATGCAGCGCTCTATATCGGAATTTTTCTGCACATTTCTCTGCATAAGTCAAATTCCCCGATGCACTCCTTCAATGAGTTGAGCGACGCGTTGCACCTGCGGGGCCGTTTCGCTGCTGCGTTGGCAATGCCTCCATCCCGCCAATGCCCTGCGTCGCCATCTGCTATCACGAGGCCGAGACAACGCCCAAAAAAGCCCTCAAAGCTACCCCGCGTACGATCAGGCTAACTTCTTAGCCACATGTAAGGGCTTACATAGGGCTGTTCAGCCGCTCACCAAGTGGATTCTGCTGCGTCAGCTCGTCGCTTTCTCGTAACATCACGACTTATGGAGTAAGGTGAACCTTCGTGCGGAGCTGAACCTTGCTCATATTGGCGCTGGTTCGATTAGCATGTGTGATGTGATGCGATGCGAGTGTATATATGCACACAGCTTACGAATGATGGATCCTCCCCTAGATACGACCACGGGTAGGCCGACAAAGAACTACCCCGCGTGAACCCATCGCCAATCTAGATCCCCACACGGACGTCTCAAAGAACAACCACGAAGGCTAATGCATTGCTCGGCCCATCCGTTAGGTATCGCCGTTTGCCCAGTAATGACTGGATGCCTGGAGCAAGCTGGCACGAGGTCCATCGGTGTACTCTCGCCTATTACAACTGTATGTGGCTACGATCTGGAGGATTTTCGGACATGGTCCTCAAACAAGCTTCGTGGCGGCCCAGAATTCAGCACTGCCTGTGAAAGGCACAGTAGTGCGCAGCCCCGCGCAGCTATCAGCCTTGACTTCACACTCCAGACCTTTGTAAAGTACCCTATATCAAGAAGCACTGCTCCAGTACTGAAGTACGCGATCATATATAACCTGTCTCATTCCTGCAGTCTTTGGGCTTTCTGAAGCATTACAGGTATTGACCCAATATGTCTCTCGCGGAATTGACAAGCAAGTCATATGGTATGTACACCTTCCTTTGCTCTTAGAAAGATTGAAAGTGTTCTTCACTTCATCTGCATGAATTGCATCTGAAAGGCTCCCTGGACGTCTGGTCAGTATATGTCGTTACTAACTATTCGATACTTGCAGACTACATCGTTGTTGGAGGTGGCACCGCGGGCTTGGTCATCGCAGCTCGTCTCACAGAGGACCCCAATGTTTCTGTAGCTATTCTCGAAGCTGGCGGCAATGGACTGAACGACCTCTTGATCGATGCGCCGAACATGTTCACACAGCTCTGGGGCAAACCACAATATGATTGGGATTACAAGACTGTCCCTCAGGTAAGTACATAATGTGCCGCAATTGGCTCCATCTTACAATCTGGCAGGAGGGAACAGTCGGTCGGGTGCACGGCTGGGCACGAGGCAAAGTCCTCGGTGGAAGCTCGGCTATCAATTACAACATGTTCAGTATGGCCTCCAAGCAAGATCTGGACAACTGGGCAGAGTTGGGCAACAAAGGCTGGTCCTTTGACGATATGAAGGCCTACTACAAGAAGTTCGAAACGTATCACCCAGCATCAGAGACCTTCGGAAAGGGCATCGACAACAAATACCTCGACAAATCACTTCGTGGAACCACTGGGCCAATTCATATCAGCTTCCCAGAAACAGATGTAACCTGGGGTCAGGACGTTTGGCCGAAGACTGTAGTAAACGCTGGATACTCACCCGCGAAGGACCCTCGTACCGGTTCGGCGATTGGCGGCTTCAATCAGCTCAACACTATTGACCCCAAGCACAACAGACGAAGTTATGCTGCAAGAGACTACTATGAGCCCAACGCGGACAGGTCAAACCTGACTCTGGTCACCCATGCGCTGGTCTCTAAAATCGAGCTTGACAAGACCGCCGAGAGCGTCAAGGCCACCGGTGTTCAATTCACCGTTGATGGCACTACGCACACAATGAAGGCGAGCAAAGAGGTCATAGTCTGCGGCGGGGTTGTCAACTCTCCCCAGATTCTAGAACTCTCCGGAATCGGGTCATCTACTGTACTTGAGAAGGCTGGTATCGACGTCCTCGTTGATCTTCCAGGCGTTGGGGAGAATTTGTCCGATCATACAGCCACTGGCCTCGTGCTGGTAAGTGTATATGTTGCTTTGCTTGATTCCATACACTGACCTTCTCCAGGGTGTGAAAGATGAATACCCAACCGCCGAAGCTCTCGTCCAGAACCCAGCTGTCATGCAGCAAGCCCTAGAAGCATATATTACCCACAAAGCCGGTCCATTTGCAGGAGCGCCCACAACAACAGGCTTCGCCTCTCTTGCAAAGATTGAACCCGACTTTCCAAACGCAGAGTCGCACATCCAATCTCTCCTCGAAGACTTCCGCAGTAAGCATCCCGATGCCGATCCTGCAGGTCGGGATCCCCTCCTCGGTCGCCAGCTCCTCGATCCCAAAGAAGCAGTTTGTCAAATCGTCATGCTACCCACAGGCGCGCAGATGCAAAACCCAGAGTCAGCTGCCAAATTATTTCCATCCGTGGAAGAGGGTATGTGGTGCACAATTGGCGTATGCAGCACGCGCTCTCTGTCCCGTGGTACCATTCACATTAACAGCTCCGACCCAACTGCGCATCCTATAATCGACCCAGCGTATTTCTCTCATCCCCTCGATCTCGACATGATGGCCCGAGCGCTCCTTCATTGCATCTCTTTCACATCCGTAGAGCCGCTTGCCTCAACCCTCCGCCGAGACACCGATGGCAATCTCATCACGTCTAAAACCGCCGGCCCAGTGCCGAAAACACTGAAAGAAGCCAAGACCTTTGTGCAGAATAGTACGGTGACGGAGTACCATCCCGTTGGTACTTGTGCCATGTTGCCGAAGGAGAAAGGCGGTGTTGTAGATGCGGAGCTAAAAGTTCACGGCGTCGAGGGACTGAGGGTGGTGGATGCTAGTATCTTCCCGACCCATGTACAAGGAAATATTGTCAGCTTGGTGTATGCTGTTGCGGAGAAGGCGGCGGATTTGATCAAGGGTGTGGATGGCATGGATGTTGTGGAAAGGATAGACAGTCTGCGCGTTGACTAAACATGGAAGTTCATTGCAATTTTGAGGAAATGCAATTGATTCCCACGATAAGAAAGAAGCAGCAGCATCCTAAGGTATGCCAGTTGACTTAACTCATTGCGCGCCTAAACTAGGCTCAATGTACATAGTGTCCGTGTTAGTACTTGCAGGACTGGTGAACGCCAAAACGCACAGGTAAGAGAGAAACCACTTTATCGAGAATTACATCGACAACAACCTCCTGAATTGTGGTATCGGCCTCTTGCACTAGGCAGATACATTATCGCAAACACGGCAACCAAAACATGGTTTTCGCAGCACGATCGTCGCAATGACGTAGCGCCTAATCTTACAACCGCTCCTGCGTAAGTCCAAGCGCTCCTTTGAACTTGCCCAATCCGATTCGGCAGGAACACTGCAACTTGAAACCTGCTTTGTCGTTTCTTGTTGCAAGACGCGAGAGATTACGGTAGTCGTCGATCTATAAACAATTTCGATTCTTCACTCACTTTCTCGTCTTTCCGGAAAATTTACTTCAACCTTCACTCTCGACGGAATCTCTTAACAACCATCTCCGGTTTGACGACTTATTTCCTCTCGAGTCCAGAATATCCAAATAACAACCACCACATCACGAACGAAAATGTCAACACGCAAATCCAGCCGCGCAACCAAAGCGGTGAAATACACCTCCGCATCTGAAGGCTCGGATTTCGAGGACAAGAAGCGAAAGCCCAGAAAGACTTCCACTGCTACCCCCAAAAAACCTGGACCCACAAAAAGGACAAAAGCAGCACCAAACGCGACCACCGTATCAGGAAAGAAGGCCCCCATGAACCCCAAGCGCACCGCCGAATCCGACAACGACGACGACGACGTTTCCACCACCGAAACCGCCCCCAAACCCAAGCGCCAAAAGAAAGACCCCGAGACCCTCGCCCAGGAAGCTCGCGAGAAGCAAGCCAAAGCCGACAAAGCGCTTTACAAGCAGAACTGGCAGGACTGGCTCGCATCCCACACCGTCGAAGGCGAGATGCTAGAGGAGGAACCCGACAAGGAAGAGGCCATCACGCAGACCGATGCGCTGAAGCAATATGGGCTCAAGAAAGAGGAACTAATGTCTTTGCCGCGGTACGAGAAGAAGAACCCGTTGTACGGCGGGACGATGAAGTTGTTCCTCGAGGAGAACGTGAAAGAGTTGGGGTTCAGGAAACTGGCGATCTTGGAGGGAGTGGAGGGGGGTGGTGAGGAAGTGGTTAGGAGGGGAATGGAGATTTGGGAAGCAGAGTGAGTTTGACTGTGAGATATTTGATAGAGAGGATGTGGCTAACAGGACCTCTTAGGCATAAATACGATCCTGAGTCTGAGAATGAAGAGAAGCCAATGAAGCCAGTGAAGAACGACAAGTCCGCGCCGACAAAAGAGAAGAAAGACACCTCAGCCAAACCCGAGAAAACGAAGAAGGAAGCACCAACCAAAGAAAAAACACTCAAACAGAAATGGTCCGCATACATATCCGCACACACCATCGCCACTGACGATAACCTCACCGAAGAGCCATCCGACGTCATCAACCAAACAGAGTGCAAGAACAAGTACAGTCTCACGCCTCAGGACCTAGCTTGTCTGCCGTTCTTCCCCAAGAAGAACCCTGTGTACGGGAAGATTATGAAGTTGTTTGAAGAGAGCGAGGTGAAGAAGTTGGCGTATGTGAAGACTGCTGTTCTGGCTGGGGTGGAGGATGATGGTGAGGATGATGAGGCGTTGGTGAAGGAGGGGCAGAAGATTTTTGAGGAGCAGCGAGAGGGCGAAGAAGATGACGAAGAGTAGGGGTTGATTGGTACGCGGTCACGACTGATGTCGTCTGCAGCGACATGCAACAGCAGTATTCGTGAATTTACGAGATTACCATCCTGAATTTTCTCTTTGCATACGCTTTTACTACCCTAACTCCAGTCTCACCCACTCCTCATGCCCTCACCACTTAATAGCCTTCTTGAACACAGGGACCTCCTCGAAATTATCCACACTCCACTTCAACTTCCCATCCCCCGTGATCCAAGCACCCTGATCGGTAGCCTTCAGTCCCGTCTTCTCGTTCTCGCTAATCTCGTGCTTACTCGCGCCAATACTGTCCTTTGCCAACCAAACAACCGGCGTCTTACTCGTGAAAGCAGGGTTCAGGTAGGCTTTCTTCAGGTCCTCGTCGCTGTATTGAGGTTCCTCGTCTTCGTCAAAGTCGCCGTCGCGCAACCAAGCCTTCAGGGCAGTGTAGCTACCGAAGACGTGTGGTTGTAAGAAACGAGCGACAGGCGAAACGACCTTGGACGGCACACGCGTACGTTCGCTCACGCGATCGATCCTTGACTCGGCATGCTGAAGAGCTTCAGATTCGCCTTCCTCTGCCGAAGACAGTAGTGGTGCCTGCACACCGTCTTCAGAGTCGAGCGCGAGATCCGCGGGTAGATATCGTTCGAGTGGAGCGAAGTAACGGTTCGTGATATAGTTGAAGATGGCGGTGGCGAAAAGTAGAACGACAAGCATGATTAGAGGACCAGTCGCTTCGCGTAAACCGAAGAGACCGATAAGGCACAGCTCGGCGATGTAGATTCCAGTGAGAAGATGCTGCAGAGAAAGCGTGTACGCATGTCCTTTAGTGTCGATTTTCGGTGTCGCGGTATACAACAGCTGGTACTGGTAGCACCAGTAGAAGATCACAAGACCGATAGCAGCGACGCCAAGAACGAGAGGCGCGATACAGGAGTAAACGATCGCTGCGAAAGATCAGTAACAGGTTGTCTGTGACTTCTGAGATGACTTACCGATGACGACAAAGTTGCCGTACTTCGGGAATAGCTTACCCCAAGCCATACCTCTCATTGTGATGAAGCTAGTGTACTTCTGACGGGGGGTCTTATCGAAGAATCTGTCGAAAAAAACATACGACAGCACGTCGGTGTAGTTCAGTATGTTACTTGGGGCATTGGTCAAAGCCTGGACGATAAAGTACGCGAGATAGGTGTTTGATGCTCTCGGCAAACGCTCCGCGAGTTGCTGTGGTACTCGGCTTGGGTCTTTGACGATTTGCGATACTACCGCTGCAGCACCTGAAGCGAGTGTGGTGACAAGGAAGACCTGCAGTACTTGGAAGACAAAGTACCACTTGAGCACCTTCAGCTCAATGACAGTCTTAGTCGGCTCTCCGAATTTTGTAAAGATGTCTGCATTATGTCAGCCCGAAGGTAGCAATATAGGTCAAAGGAGGACACTTACACCTAAAGATTTTAGGTACGTAGCTAGCCAACGCGCTCAAGGCCAGTGAAGGTAGGAGACCACTAAGTAGGCTCATAAGTCCGGATGGAAGCTTGTTGAGGAACGCGAGCCATTTAAAATTTTCGGCGAGATATTCAACGTTTGACAATGCACCGACTACTCCAACTGGAATGGACCAAAGTATGATGACAGCGACGACTAGGGTGATGGCGACTCCACTCTGAGATATCCGACGCGCAGGTGCTAGGTTCAGGTTGGCCCAGATAACTTCATTGGGCGTAGTACCGACAAAGCGAGGGGTGAGAGACAGAATGTCAGACGATGCGATCTGTTGGTAGGCTCTCTGAGCCGCGGGCTGGGTGCGAAACTCAACGAAGACCGCCGCAGCTCCACCAAGACTCTCAGCTGTCTCGTTCGATTCGCGAGCCTTCTCGATGTCATTCTCTTTCTCCTTAATCTGGTCTCGGAAATAGCTGATGCTGTCAACTTCCTTGCCAACGACTGGTGTCTTGGACTTGTGTGTAGGTCGTAGGGACTTCTTCATCTGCTTGGGAAGCTGTTCATATTTGATGTTCCGATTGTGGCTCTTCCCAACTTCCTTGTTGACATTCAAGATCAAGGACATTTCAGCGCCCTCCAGCTCCTCGACTTTCGAGTTCCTCTCTGAAACGAGCGACACAAGCTTCTCGCCTTTGGTAACTGGCCAGATCCTGACTGCATCATCGCCGAAGAACCGCTGCATGTTGCCTTCGTCGAGAGCCGCGGTAGGTGCCGAGAGGTAGAGCACAGTGCGTGAAGACAGCCTCTTCGCGTTCGGCTTTGACAGATTCCATGCTTGTCGCAGTCCGATGAGCCATAGGCGTTCTCGTGCAACAGTGAACATGACAAAACTGAAGAATATCCATGCCACAACGGCATGCGCATAGAGATGGTCCTTGTTCTTCACATTGCCAATACCAACGCGATTGAGTTCCTTGGAATTGCCGCCACCAGTATAATTGGCAGGCAGAAGGATAGGCCAGGTAATGACAGCACCACCGACGCAGATGAATATCAGAGTCCTCATAAACCGCAGGAACAAGTACGAATCAAGCGACTGGTGGTAAAGCATAAACTTGTCGGGAACGGTCCTCATGGTGTGGACCCATTCGAAGTAGCCTGGCGATTTCGAACATGGCGTACGATCCTTTTCCGGTACTGTGCCGATGAACGTGCGTGGTGAGTAAATCTTGGGGAAGCGGCGCCAGATGAGGACAAACGCGACCATGTACAAAGTCGCAATCACGGCCGTGGGCACGAAAGCCGCAGCGAGTGACGCGAACGAAGAAGGGCCGCTAGACTTCGTGACAGGGGATGTTAGTACACGCGTTTTGAGTAAAGTCGGGGTGTGGACGCAGGTACGTACCGACTGGACATGGCTGGTGCCATGGTCTTTGGCGACGAACACCGTCTGAAGATCCATGCCGGGCGTCTGTTGTGGGGCAAGAACTGATTAGCAATGCCTCATAGCCGATGCAGGACGAGAAATTGCAGATTGGCAAAGCGGAAGAGGTTGTGACGGAGGCTTTGCGCGCTTCTGCCTGTGTTGACTAGTGTTGCGGAGAACGATGGGTGAAGCCTGTCAAGCAAGGACGCCGATGACGTAGACGCGTCAGTGGCGCGGATTCATGCAGGTCACGTGCGACTCACTTTGAGACAGCAAACCAACATCACCGGCCCCAGGCCCATCCAATCACACATTGGAGATGTTCAGAAAACCTAAGGCGTCCAGTACAATTAATGCGCTCATGCTGAACCCGGTCAACATCATTACAATTTTATATGTACGCCTACGTAACCAAGAAAGCCCCATCCAATATTCGTACAACAGTCTATAACGCGCGGTATCGCAGTATACAAGCCTGTTACCCACTATCCAAAACGCCCACAAAGGAAAGATCCCGACAAAATACTCAACGCCGTCGTATGCAAGAAAACAAACTGAGTAGTACTGGGCACACCTAGAGCCACAGCAGCCATCTGATCACTCCAACCCCCATACCAAATACTCTCTTGACAGATCCAACGAGCACGACGATAAGCCAAAGACACCACATGAGCGCAACGAGAGCCCATTCAACAAGCATCCATCCGAACCCTCGGATCCAGCGCATCCTGCGTTTGCGCGTGCGAATCATACGGTCAATTTCGTCGGTGATCTGTTTTACCTGCAGGGGGCCTTGTCCGGAAACCTCACTCGTGATGCGCACAGCTTGGTCTCCGCTTTCTAGGATACGCGGCATGAGGTCCGAGTCAACCGTAGATTGCAAAGCCGAGATCTGGTTGGTGAGTTGCTGAATGGCTTTATCGCGGAAACATTCAAGTGAGGACTGTAATGCCTTGGTTGATGACTCCAGATCCTTGACCAACATACGTGCAGCGAGAACGTGCTCTTCTTTGCGCGGAACAGGGTAGAGTCGCATCTTTGATGTGGCGGCAGCGCGAGTTAGGAATTCGGGTGGCGGATCTCTTACGCTGTGCGCGCGTCGGTCGATTTCCGTTGCTTTGACACCTGAGCACAGGAATAGAGCGCGCACCCGAGCAATGTCCGCTTGGGTAACAACATTTGCATTCTTGTTACGATCAGCAGCATTGTCATCGCCGTCGGCAATGCTCCAATGTCTCCCGTTAAGCCCAGGTCGAGAAGCACTACGTTGCCTATGCGAGCCCTGTGCGTTTCGAAGTCCAGTGGGAGGGAGGCCCACCATGTCACCCCCAGGTCGAGCGAGCACTTCGTTGATTCGCTCCTGGCTATGGCTTTGGGTAAGAGTAAGATCTCCCGTGGAAGAGTTCCCGGAGATCGTACCAAGATCCATGCGAGGTGGTAAGAGCCGATCGATTCGAGGTGAGCGACTGTTCTTTTGCTCTCGCGCCTGACGTGAGATATGATGCTCATAATCTGATTCCTCATCTGGGATTGTGTGAATTGGCCGGAACGATGGTAGATCAAGATGATTACGGTCCTTGCCGGTAAGACTACCGTCTGTCCCTGCAGTGACGGTCCGACTCATCGGTGGCCGTTTGGTTTGCCTGGCTTTGACAGTGCCATAGTCGTCAAAATCCACAGAGTTGCGGTCAGAAACAGTGTCTGCATCCGAGTCGTCGGCTCGGTCTCTTCTGAAGATGATATCACCAACTTTGGTGCCCTCATTCTTCACGCCCTTGAAGAACCTTGTGACAGCTGAATGCGGCTCCTGGGTGTCCCTGCGACGTAGCTTATCCGGGCTAGGCAAGCTACTGACGCTATCATTCTTGCGGTGACCGAGTAGGCTCATCACAGCACCAGGAGCTGCAAGGATGGCTGTTCCGATGTGTTTGTCCTCTTTGTCGTCTGGAGTTTCCTCACTGGTCTGCCGAGATCTGGCCTTCCTGTCTGTTCCAGCAGAGTCTGGGCGGAATTCATGTTTGTGATCATCACTATGGTCATGCGAATGGAAAATGCTGTTGAACTTGCCCCGTTTCGCTTTCCTCGTCTGTGAGTTTGATCGACTGGGAGGTGACGAGAGATCGCCTCCAAT